AGCATCAGGAGTAAACAATACTCTAAACTAATGCTGTCTGTCAGATGTCAAATGGATGTCCATCTAACTAATCAAAATAAAAACTAGTGTTGACTGACTGGGTCTGTTCATAGCATGGAATGAAACTCGAACTTATCACCTGGAACYCATCCCCTCCCTTTGTTCTTCTCAGTGTCTCGGTGTCACGTCCCTAGGCATCTGAAGCCAAGCGTRTCTGAAGGTGTGCAATCCGGTCCCACCCCTGTGCCCCTAGGTTATCGTCGAGCAAGGCAGCCACARCACTCTTATTTACCCTCGTAYGCCGACGAGCCTTCCACTCGGATGATCTGGCTGATCAAGAGGCAATTTAACGTCCGCCCCCAAGTGACATCAGGAATTATTTTACGTCGCAGCAGGACGACGATCACAGCCAGATCAGAGCCGAGTACCCAGCCAGAAATATTTATAGACGGTCTGGAAAGCGTCTGTAGAGGCTGCCACACTCGAGTTAACCCCTATCATGCGCAAGCAGCAGAACCAAAGACTTACAGCGAAGCATGCGTGTACTACACCCAGTGGGTTGGCATGGTGACCGTGACCCAGTGCTYCGTCCAGGGCCCTTCAAGAAGCTCCGCCCGTCTTCCCCCAGATGCTCGRCGTGAACAATCACGACTCTCAAGGTTGAGCGCACACGACACCTCACGATGAGAGGACTCTCAAGACAGAACTCACAACCTCACGGTAAGAAGTGATGAAGAGGGTAGATAAGGTTAAGAGCAACGYACCYMGTTCATGCTGCCCCCAACCACAGAGATAATCTCACCAGATGACCTGAAGATGATTGCGATGACCAGTCACAGCATCGGCACAACCAGCATTTCGCCGTTCCACCTCAGCCTCAATCATCAAACAGATAGTTCTCATCACACTGCGAACACCCAATATTCACACCTTAGCCTTCCAGGCGATGCCCCTCACCACCTGGGTCGCCTTTCACTCGTCTCCACCCTCCTCACTACACACCACTTACGACCAACTCTCCCAGCAGACCGCATGTATGTACCGTATAAGGAAAGAGACAAGCGCCAGATGAGCGCGCCGTACCACAGCTCCGATACCAAATTGCAAGGAAGATGAGCAATAGCGAACTCCAGAACGCAAACAGCAYYAYACATAAGWTACCAGRTAGCCATGACCTCGAACCATAAGCAGAATGGCATCACGAGTTTCACCCAATAAGAACACAGCAATAGTTCGTGATTGACAATGCTGAAGTTGTCTCCCATCATCATCAACAAAGAATAAGAGTTGATATCCTACTGGCGCTCGGCGCCCAGACCACAAGATGGCAGGTCCTATCTAGCCTACTACTACAATGCCGAAGTTGACGTCAACAGCTTCACCGAAGTACGAGCATATGCGGCCAATGCCGCTCGTCTCAAGCACCAGGTATGTCTCCCACTTTGCTCTCAACCCCGATCCTTACCACACAGATGCCTCTAGCACCCAAGGACCACCCAGCGCCCCACCTAGCAAACAGCAGGCAGCGTGGCTATGGCTGCCTGCTTCTTCCTTACTCGCCCGTGAGTGCGAGGGCGCCAGCCAGCAAACAGCGCAGCAGTGCTGTCGCAGCATGCAGCCAGCACCCGAATGTCGAATGAGGAGGCAGGCCCTTCCCTATATCGAAGTGGCCTGCCTGCGTCCAGTCCAGGAAGCTTCCAGTAGGCCCCGGTAGCCTGAGGCCCAGTCACGAAGAATGCAGGCAGTGGGCCTGAGGTAGTTGCATACACCCAACTGCTTTCGGCCTGTGCTTGGCCCGGTACCCGTACCCAGCCCAGGGCCTGCTTTACATTCATTCACACAGGCGGCCCAGGGCGTGAGTTCATTCAACCAACTGATGCTGTGTAACTGCCTGAATTTCCCCATTTGCGGGGTACCCTGAAAACGAGGCCCTGAGGGCCTGTCGTGCCTGCCTTCACTTAGGGCGGCCGACCTTGCTGCAAATAAGGCCCGTAGGGGCTAAGCGGGCGTAGCCTCGCATTTATAACAATTTAACAATCTGCCAGAAATATTTTGTCATTCGTCAATGGCGGTTGTGATATCTTAAGTTCACCCAGACGTTCCCAGAACCCTGTCATTGTCCATTTTGCTCCCATTCCGTCAAAGGGGGGAGAGCGCCTCAGTATTCTTGACCCCTTTTGGTAACCGTGGGTTCCGGACATTGTGCAGTTTGGGTGTTGCTCGCCCCGATGCTCGGGATGTAAAACTTCCAACATTCAGACAATGATAATAACCTATGGTTTGCAGTAGGGCATCTCTCAGTTCTGTGCTCTGCTGTTGAGATTTGCTGGTTGTTGGTCAAGGGCTAAGGGTTTTCTGCTCTCTTTTGCTCTTTTTTTGGCTGTTTTCAGGCTGTGAGCGCAGGCTTTGAGCATGTGGTCGCGTTGACAAAACAAGGCGTGCTTTACGTTTGGGGCTCCAATGACAGAGGGCAACTGGGAACTGGAGAGGACGCAGCTTACCATATGGTTCCCACACAGATTGGAGGGTCAGTTTTCGGGATTAAGTTTGCGCACATCGCAGCAGGCCTCAAACATTGCATCGTGGCCTCCAAGAGTGGGGAAGTAAGTAACAACTTCATTTCTTGTGCAGCTTCATCATGTTTCTGAACACCATGTAGAACTGGAGCCTTGTCAGCAAAATGACATGATCCTGTATGAGGAGGTGAAAACAGTGTCACAAACCCTTTGTTTTTGTTGTTTTCAAAGACACCCTCGTAGCTGCTAGAGGTGCTGGTATAGGCAGACACCTCTAGCACCCCAGGGGAGGATCCGATCTATTGGCGGGGAGCAGCACCTGGTGGAAACCGGGTCCAGCATCCCTTATACATTACTTTACAATGCAAACCTCTGGGAGCATTTCCCTGCTTCGCTCATGTTCATCAATACACCTGTCCACAACTCGGGCTAAACCCTTTGTGGGATTGGCTGATGGACCAACACAAGCAGATGATTGCAGAACTTGCCCAAACGGTAAACCCTAAACCCTACTGGATCATCTAGTGACTGTGCCCTGATGAGGGGGGTGCACCTTCTCCTTTACGTTCTGTCTGCCAGCGTTCCCTGACCCCAAATTTGCCCCACCAATAAGCCCTAAACCCTTTGTGGGATTGGCTTTTGGACCATCAAGAGCAGATAATTGCAGAACTTGCCCAAACGGTAAACCTAAACCTCATTGGACCAACAAAGGCGGATAATTGCATAACTTGCCCATTGCTGGACCAACGAGAGCAGATAATTGCAGAACTTGCCCAAACGGTAAACCCTTAACCGCATTGGACTAACGAAGGCAGATAATTGCAGAACTTGCCTATGCCCAAATGGTAAACCCAAATTCTCATTGGACCAGCAAATGCAGAAAATTGCAGAACGTGCCCAAATAGCCCTGAGTGCCAGTACCAGATCGCGATGTCCCCTTCAGCGCCCTTCCGTTGCTGCTGTTCATCCGCCTCACCTCCTGCTGCTGCTCCTTTAAGTTGTGTCCGCTGGCGTTGGGCACCGGTACCGGATTGCAATGTCACCATGAGCGTCCCTCCGTTGCCACCGTCCATCCATCGACTGTGCCCTGGTGAAGGTGGGGTACCTCGCCTCCTGCTGCTTTTCGTTTACGTTCTGTCTGCCGGTTCCTTGGCCATTGGTTTTCTCGCTGATTCTTTGTTACATTAGACATGTTTATGTGTACATATATCCAAGCATCGGCCCTCCACAACCAATCCAACTTCTGTCAGGCAGTCACGAGACCATGTTTCAGGCTTTACAGCAGAAGATTCATGGCTCAACTGCAGAGCAGATGCGGTCTCCACTCAGGGTCCAGTCCCCACTCAAGGTGCCGATCCGCATGTCCCAGGATTGAAACATCATTTGGCTGACCTGCAAGTTGCTCACAGGGGGTAGGTAGACAACACGGGTGATCTGAAATGATGATGCCAGTCCTCATGGCAACTGCTGTGCTGAGATGGTCAGCTAGCTCCCTACCGTTCATGTCCTCCCTGTTGTCAACGATAGACCGACTCCTCCCTCTTCTCTTATCCTTCCCTATGCTCCAATCTCTGTTCCATTCTGCTTACTTTCCCTTTCTCTTCGTGTGCATATTTCCTCCCTCTTTATGCCCTTTACCTTTACCATGCCACTTCTCCACAGTTTGCACGTGGGCCGGTATGGCACATGGGAATGTAGGCAGCTCGAGCTCAACTACTTCAACGTGGCGGGCCTTGTATGTGAGAGGGACAGTTGCAACGAACCATGCCACAGGAATACCAATTTTCCGAAACGCAAAAGCTCATAGAAGAACAAGCATGATTGAACCGAGTTCAAAGCAGAATACCAAAGCTGGTAGCACACCATGATCGAGCCGAGTTGAAAGCAGAATACCAAAGCTTATTATAGCACACCAATCAGGAGCAAATAGAATACTGAAGTCCCTCGGTAAAGAAAGCCCGACTTCTCGCCTCCAATCATCAATACAACAACAACGTAGTAGCCCTAGTGTGATGTGACCACTCAACTGTGCTTCCCACTTCCTCTACTCACGCTAGCCTACCATGCCTCACTCTCTGTCCTCTTGTCACTCTCTGGATGCTGCTTGAAGACATCGATTAGGACTTGATCATCTTAATGTAATGTTGTGGGATCATTTTTACACCTCTTTCAAGGCTCTTTGTTCATTTGCTCACCTTGACCGTTAGTCTTAGTTCCCGAGGTCATGTTTAGTTCAGAACGAAACCTTTTAGCTAGACCCTGCTGCAGTTTGCTGGTGGACCGCACATCTTAATCACTTACAATACTTCTGTGTAATCCAAGGTCCTTGATCCAGTGATTAGCGAATTCAGTTATCACTGATTCTGCTTAGCTGTAGCTGGAAGTGGTATGAGACCTGCAAATTGAGAAAATCTGTCAATAATTGCAAAATTCAAAATTGTAAACTTGGGCCAAAATTGTAAAATTGAGAAATCTACTGATTTTCTTTCCTGCTGGTCACAAGAGTATCCATGAAATCCATGGCCAGAGACTGTCCAGGACATTCAGGAATGGGAAGAAGAGATGAGGTTTGTCTCTTTGACAAACTTGGCAACTTGTAACATACAACTGTGCATCCCTCTTCATACCAGCCCACCAAAGTTGCTGCAACAGATTAGTGTAAGTTTTCTTAAAGCACCAGTTCACGGCCATACATCGGCCACGGGCCCCCACCGCGGCTTTTGGAGGCCGGAAACCCGACGAAGGCCATTGATGAAATTTATCAATGGCAGCCCCAGTTCTGAAAGTTGCAGCGGTGGGGACGAGCCCATTTTCTGCAAGGCTGGGGCCGTGTACTGGTGGTTTAAATCCAAAGTGACCTGTTGCGTGATGGGATTCCTAGAAATAGGCTCCTCAGAGTTTTATCCTTAGGGCGCACAGAGTCTTTTTCTACGCCATCCTTACTCAGGAACAACAACCCTTCCACCATTATGAACTCCTTACGCACCTTTCTATCTTGTGGAGTGAGTCTTGATGATGATTTCCTTAAGAATGTAATCTGCCTGGTAAGAATTGACCGCCTGCTGAGGTACATGCCCTTCTAACCCTACTACCTTCTTCCCCCGAATACAACATATGGTCATTACAACCGTACTTAGACTGAAAGATACCCCAAATACAGCTATAGCCTATAAGGACTGTACGTTGTATTCGGGGGAAGAAGGTAGTGACCAGCGCACGTAGGAAGTCTTCTCTCCTTGACAGTGCATCAGCTACCACGTTGCACTGTCGCTTACGTGCTCAAGTGTAAAGTCATACATGTCTATGACCACACGAACGTGGGGAATCTTGCACCTAATAACTAGTCTCACACTCCGAATGAAAGTTTGCAGCTAATGTCCTGTTTCACTCCCAATGAAAAGAAAGGCAAACAAACAACAGTTCAAAACTCAAAAAAGGCCTGCCTTGTTGCCGGATAGAATGAGCTGTTATGCCAAACTTTACAGTGAAATCTGACAACATACACAGGCACACACACACACACACACACACACACACACACACACACACACACACACACACACACACACACACACCAATCAACGTGGGCAGCCTTGTGCGTAAGAGGCACAGTAAAAGACGAGCTGCAAGAACAATGAAAGGGGTACCCCAAGGACAACCAAAAAACTGTCTAATTATAAAATTGCTTTAATATGTTGGACATCTCAAATGCTCTCGTTGTCTGCAATAGAACAAAGACTGCTTTGATTCTGAATCTATTCATCTGGTGGAATTGGGTCTGTTGTGGGGAAAATCTATAACACACACAGACACACACAGACAGTGTGGGCACTTCCCGCTCAACCACACAAACGTGAGGAACCTTGCACCTTCTATTATAATGCTCATTTTTTTGGGAGAGTTTGGGGATCTTGACAACACACACACACAATCAATGTGGCGAGCCTTGTGCATGAGAGGCACGGTAAAGGGGGAGCGGCAAGAACAAATGAAAGGAGAAAATGCAGAATGGACAGGCAGAATCCCATGGAGCAAGTATACTAGTATAAGACCAGCAAAGATCAGTAGCTTGCAATGGCTCATACTATACTGGGCAGTACCGGTCAACCAATGGTTGAGCAAAAGAAGAAAACAAGAGGATCCCCAACAACAATCTGCGTGGTGCAAAGTGTGCAAC